CTGTGTAATATAAAACTTACATAAATATATATAGCCATGGTTTTTCCTCTAAACATCCCTGCTTCTAGAATTTGCATGAATGTTTTCCTATTCTTTTACTTTCAATCTATCTGCATCTTTATATTTTAGATGTGTATCTTATAAATATCATATAGTTGTTTTTAAATTTTAACACAGTCTGACAATCTTGGTCTTTTTTTTTTTTTTTACAATCTTTGTCTTTTAACTGAAGCATTTGGTCCCTTTACATTTAATGTAATTACCAACATATTTGGGTTTAGATATACTACAGTCAGTGCCGTGTTAAGCCACCCATATTTCCTCTAGAAATGGAACACTCATTCCCTCAGCTGCTGAGCATATAGGCAGTCAACAGCTCTCAGCTGAATCTTTCTTTGGGACTTGGCCTCAGCTGGAATACAGCCTTACCCAAAGTCATATCCCCTTTAGGGAGGGTGGGAGAGGATGGAAAACTGTATACAATGACTGGTCAGTGAGGGAGGTATAAAGGCCTGGACCTTTGCAAGGCCATCCCAACCCCAGGTTCCCTGTAGAATCAACTGATGCTTTTATTACTACTGTACTGCAGTTTAAACTTCTCATTCTGGTCTATCTTCCTTCCTCACTCCCCTACAGATGTTAACCTCAAAAGCCCATCCCAATAAACTTCCTTCAGGTAAATCTCAGTCTCTGAGTCTGTTTCCCAGGGAATTCAATTTGTGACATCTATCACCTTATTATGTGTTTTCTACTTCTTCTGCCTGTTATGTTTCTTTTTCTTTATTGCCTTCTTTAGGACTGAGTGTTCTTTTGTTATTTATTCCATTTTTCCTATATTAGTTTGGAAATGATACACTCTTTTTCTATTCCAGAGGCTATCCTAGAAATAACAAATACATAGTTGAATTAGCATGTCTAAAGTTAATTAATACTTTTCCCCTACTCTGCAATATGATAAGGATTTTAAACATTTTAGCTCCTTTTACCCTTTTCCCAATTTATATGTAACTGTTATTCTAGGTACCTCATGTAAGTGGACACATACAACATTTGTCCTTTTGCATCTAGCTTATATCATTTAGCATAGTATTTTCGAGGTTCCTCCATATTGTGGTATGCATTAGAATTTCATTCTTTTTAAAGGTTGAATAATATTCCATTGTATGTATATATCACATTTTGTTTATGCATTCCTCTGTTAATGAACATTAGAGAGTTTCCACTTTTTGGCTACTGTGAATAATGCTGCTATGAACATTGGTGTGCAAGTATCTGTTTAAGTCCCTGCTTTCATTTCTTTTGAGTACATACCTAGAAGTGGAATTACTGGTAATTCTATATTTAACTTTTTGAAGAACTTCCATATTATCTTCCTGATTCTCTTAAATACATTTCAATTCCCTGTTGAAATTATCCATTGTTTTATTTATATTCTCTACCTATTTTCCTATTTACTTGAACATGAACATAGTTATTTTAAAATCCTTTTAGGATGACACCAATATCTAGGTCATCTGTGGATCTGCTTCTATTGTCCATGTTTATTTCTTGGTTTTCAGTCATGTCATCTTGTCTTTTGGCATGCTCTGTAATTGTCTACATAATGCCTCCAGAGAGGATTTCCCTTCCCTCTAGTAGGCACATATAATGGTAGCTGATTGCCTTAATCCAATGAGGGGCTGTGCTGAGTGCAGGCTGAATTGTACCTCTGGTAAAGGTCAATCTATTTTTGACTCATCTCTATTCCAAGAGCATAGCCCTCCAGGATTTTTAACTAAGAGCTTGGGAATTCATTGAAGTTTCTCCCCCTGGAAGGTTCATAACACTAGTCTGTATCTTGTGAGACTGCCAAAACGTCTGCTTTTCAAAGGCTTTCCAATGAGATTTTTCTAGCCTCCCACTCTGTAAAGCCCCAGGATTTGGCAAATATCCCAACAGGATAACTGGCTTTATGCTTGAGGCTCCCTTAGTTTTCTATAAAAGCTTGCTGGTTTCTTATCCCCAGCAGCAGCACTCTCCCAGTATACAGTCCTGGTTCTCAGAACCCTGCTCATGCCCAGCATCAGCAAATTCCTCAAGCGAAAAAGAAGCTACAAAGTCAGCTTGCCTCTCTGAGGTTCTTTTAGCTCACCTTCACTCTTGGTGTTCAGTCCTTTGGAATCTCAGCCCAAAGCATGGTGTACCAGGGTCCCACTCTTGGTAGAAAATGGACTATATTTTATCTTCCTAGCCCCATAAGACTGTATTTCAGGTCATACATTTCCAGGCAAACACAGCCACAAAATCTAGGCTCACCTCTCTTAAATCTTATCCTCTCCCAGATCTTGATCAAGTAATTCCTCACTATCTTGTTAGCTCTTTGAAGCTTTAACATATACTTTAAAAATATTTTCTCTGCCTGCTTTTTAGTTCTAATCAGACAATTCCTATGCCATATCAGTACTATCTTAGTACTACTGGTCTTAGTACTACTAGTTGTGGTAAGTTTTAAGAACATAATTCCCAAATGCAGAGAAACTACAATTTTTTTTAAAGCCAGTCTTAGGAAAAAGGGTATATTTTAGGCTCAGAAAACATTTTCATTATTTTCAAGTTTTAAGAATGATAACCATTAAATTATGCTAGAATTATATTCTGCTTCCATTCTTTATCAATTAAAGTGAACTTAAAGGAAAATAATATGGTACTTCAACTATAATTCACCCATAACAGAATATGTACCAATATATGCCTAACATTTTAAAGGCTATAGTATTAAAACAGATAAAACCATGTCTATTTCATTTGGGCTTAATCTCTAGAACAGTACTTCTAACATAACCAGATGATGTTAATAAGTCTTCCTGGGAGGGCTGCAGTGGAGATGGATTTTTTTCCTAATCAAGTATATTTGCTTTCTCTGGAGATGCAGAATGCACACTAGAATATTAAAGATCCTGAGAAGTCCCCAGTAAAGTCAGTTATTTATATTTGTTTAACCTTCTGTTTTCAAATACATCTGATCATGGAATACACTTTAATGTGTACACTTTAATGTGTGAGAAAGGTGACCTAAAAAAAAAAAAGGAAATAAACATTTCAAATAGTTTTGGTTATTTATATGTTATAGTTGATTCTATAACTTCTTTCTTCTTCATTGAAGGTGAGCTGGTGAGTTTTGTGGGGGATTTTGTTAGCTTCATTAATCTATAACTTCCTTTATCAGTCTTTTCTGACATTGGGTAGCAGAAAGAGCATGAGCTTTCTATAGAGACAGAACTAGGATCAAATTCTGGCTCCACCAACACAGGCAAATTTTTCTGCTAGCCATATTTCTTTATTTGTAAAGTGGGCTTGGGGGGCTTTCACAGTATTATTTTAAGTACTAATGACCATGTAAAGTACCCAGTGTATTGTCTGGCTCCAGAGGTTCCTCCTAGTAAAATTCCTCAAGGATCTGGAATGGCCCATTGGAATGAACATAAGATTGACATCTTTCAACCCTCCTTGATTTGGGACTCTTCTTTGTTAATTAATTCCCTTGCTTCTTATATTAGTAATTTCTCCCCTGCCTAGTTAAGAGGCTGTAATACTCCTGGGGAATAATGGTTTTTTGGTTTTGCTGTTGTTTTTTTAAATTTTTTATCCTGACTGAGTAGCCGGAATTAAATTGATTTTTATTTTCTTAGAACTTTGGAAAGGTTCAGCTCTCCCTGTCTTATGGGGAGACATTTGCTACTGTAATATTTATTTTACCTTACTGTAATTATTCATTTTCTTCCCTGCTAGACTCTAAGTTCGTAAGGTCAGGATATCTTCTTTCTTGCTAAATGCACACCCCTAGCACCACTGGCCTAGTTAAAGAGTAACCACTCAATAATTATAGAATTGTTAACAAATTATAATAATTGGGATCCCAACCACTATTATATCAGAAATATAATTCTCATATGAAATGTTTTAATATTATTTATATAGAAGATATCAGCAGAAAACAAGGAGTTAAATTTACTTATCCTGGATTTTCTAGAAATCTTAGACTGATAGAGCGATTTTCCTGAGATACATCCAGTAATTAGGATAGAAATTAAATACACTTATATGCTTTTTAGGTAAATTTTCAGTATTCGAGAATGACTCCATTTATTCAAAAGATGTGTTCCAGAAAGGTTGCCTGCAAATAACACTTTCATACTATAAATATTTAAAAACCCATCTGACTGGGCTTCCCTGGTGACGCAGTGGTTGAGAATCCGCCTGCCAATGCAGGGGACACGGGTTCAATCCCTGGTCTGGGAGGATCTTACATGCCGCAGAGCAACTAAGCCCATGTGCCACAACTACTGAAGCCCGTGCGCCTAGAGCCCGGGCTGGGTAACAAAGAGAAGCCACCACAATGAGAAGCCCACACACCGTAAGGAAGAGTAGACCCGGCTCGCCACAACTAGAGAAAGCCCGCACGCAGCAACAAAGACCCAACACAGCCAAAAATAAATAATTTATTTTTTTTAAAAACCCATCTGATTACAGTAAACTAAACTTCAAGTATATTTGAAAAACAAAAATCCCTCTTTGTAATAAGGATGCTTTCACACTAGTCTGTATCACATATTCAGATTTCTGAATACTGGATTTTTCAAAGTGGGGAACAGTCCTACTAACTTGGTCATATCAAAATGCTAAGAAGTTCAGCACAACTCAAAATCAAATTAACTTTTACTTTTTGAAAAAAAATTTTAGCATGTATATAGTAGTAAATATAATGTGTTATTAATATAGGTTTTTTAATGTGTTATTAAATTTAGAATGGATAAACAACAAGGTCCTACTGTATAGCACAGGGAACTATATCCAATCTCCCAGGATAAGCCATAATGGAAAAGAATATAAAAAAAAGAATGTCTCTATGTGTATAACTGAGTCACTGTGCTGTACAGCAGAGATTGGCACAACATTGTAAATCAACTGTACTTCAATTAACAATAGGTTTTTCCATACACTAGAAAATAAAAAATACTTACTATTATTTTCTTACAGTCCTTTCCTCTGCATAGTTCTGTATACGTAGAGTATTGCACATATATAATCCAGCTTCCAACAAAAACCACCAACCAGGAAAAGAAAAGATATTTCATTCGCACATATGAGAAGCGAGCCTGTAAGTAAAAGAGCACATAACAATCATTCATTCAGCACCAAGTCAGCATTCACTGTCCTAGAACATGACTTTTCCCCCTTTCTTGGAAGAACTCAGTATATATTCTAGGCTTTCATATGGCAATTCTCCTAGAACAAAGTGTACTTTCACTTAGTCCAAACACAACTGGTCTTAGAAAAGGAAGCTCCTTGGTCTTGCCAAGGAAAAGGGAACAAAATACCCTTTAAAATGTATAACCTTTCAAATACCACCAGCATCCAAACCTACTCATTAAGCACAAGCACGTGCACCATGCTACCCTGGGCACCCAGTAAGATCAGGTAAAGAAAGACAAAATTCCCACTTACTACAAGCTTACAGAAGAGTGTTTCAAATAAGAATCTTAAAGTTCTTCATGAATAAGCATGGTAAAATAATTGTGTTTTAAGAAATAAGAACAGAGAATTTGGCTACTTGTCTAATGTCTCACAGTGAGGTACAACCAGAGTAAGAAATTATTCACATTGATTCCTATTTCCCTGCTGTATTCACCAATGCTTTCTGTTCCTCCTATTCAACTAATCAAATGCTTCACCTAATAGATATTCTGGAAACTTAAGGAGAAAGTTACAACTATTAAAGGAGAAGAAAGGTTAAGATATATAAAGAATAAAATACGCCCTGCATGTCAGTCTGTAAGGCTGCACAACAGGATCCTCTTTGCACTGTTTTGCTCTTAGTGCTCTGGTATCTAATTGTGACTCGGGTCAGTTAGTGCTTTTTCTCCATCAACCACATATCAAACAGTTTAATCTTCAAAATGTCAGCTAGTCAAGATAATTTGATATTTATTTTTTGAGTCTGGAACGCCAGTGGTCTGGTTTTATAAACAACTGAATTTAGGACTATGGGGAGAATTGAGCAAAATAAAGATACGTAAACAAACAACGAAAGGCTAGTTTTGCTTTTACAATCACAAGTCAGTTTCTCACACTGGGCAACAGTAGGATACTGTGAGCATGCAAAGAAAGCAGAAAGAGATGAAAGAGACGTAAATGCATCTGCAGAAGACAATGAGTGCAGAGGAAAAAGAGACTCAGGAAATACTGAATTCTGTTGGCTTTATTTGCGGTTTAGATATCGGTCTCTGTGAGGTTAACAGATGTGAATCCCAGTACCAAAAGGCTTGAGTACAACGAATTCACAATTATATGATAGGTCTTTGAGCTTTATTATTAAAATATTTTAAAAAATGCCTTTAATGCAAGTTATTTTTGTATAGCTGTAAATGAATTCAGTAAAAAGAAAGTTCATATAGAATTCCAAATTAAATCACATAAATGACAATGGGGTTTACACAAAGGGGTTTGTTTGAAAGACATTTAAGATTACTTGGCCCTGATAAGAGGTCTAGTCATCAGAGAGAAATTGATATGTATTAGTATTATGAAGCTTAAATATGATTAAATGACATAATGCCTATAGAACATAAGCACATTGCAAGGCACATAGAAAATACTCAACAAATAGCAAAATCAATTTGCAAAGGCACTGAACAAAAAGCCAATAATGCTGTCATTATGGTTTGGCCACCACCTTCTTTTTGGGCTTGCCAAAAAGAAAACTGAATCTGAATCTGATTAAGCCTTACCAGTTTACAGGAAATACAGGAGACAGAGGAATATAAGTGACAGTTAAGTAAGTGACACTATTAGGATACAATCAGCAAACTCTAGGCTGTGGGAAGTGCTGAAGTACAAACAACCCAGTTCTTCAACAAATAAAATACAAGGGAGAAAATAGAGAGAAGATGGGAAAACCAAAGATCAAAAAATACATAAGAAATATTGCATATTAAATAATCACAACCTGTGGATCTTTTCTGAGTCCTGATTCAAATGTAAAACTGTAAAAGAAAATGACATTTATGAGACAATTGAAAACTTGAAGACTGACAGGATACCTGATGTTGTTAAGGCATTAATTTAATTTTTCTGGTGTAATAATGTAATGTTTAAAGAAAAGAGACCTTATCTTTTAGAGATAGACATCGAAATATTTATGAGTGAAATAATATCTGGTATTTGCCTCAAAATAATATGGGGAGGGAAAAGTAGGTGGGGTATTATTAAAACAAAATTGGCCGTGAGTTGGTAACTGTTCAAGCTGGGTGACAGTTACATGCCTTCTTTTGTACATGTTTTTCTCTACTTTTTTAACATTTTTTTTATGTTGTGCGATAAGGAATACTTCCACACCAAGACACCCCCTTCCCACACATTCATTCAGCAACTATTTATTGTCTACTAAGTGTCAGATGCTGCCTTAGGCACTTGTAGAACATCTCCAGTTAAAGGGACAAACAAGTTATAAATCTACCATACAAGTACCCTTAATACAGTTAAGAGGGTTCTTGAACAACTGTAGCATGGCATGATTTTACTTTTAGAAGTTCAATCTTTTTTTTTTTTTTTTGGCCACTAGAGAAAGATTATTTAATAAAAGATGATGAGACAACTGTTAATCATTTGGAAATAGCATATTTAAATACCTAAAACATATCGTATATCAAAATAAATTCCACATGAGGGACTTCCCTGGTGGGGCAGTGGTTAAGAATCCACCTGCCACAACCTGCCGAGACTGAACCAGGAAGAAATAGAAAATATGAACAGACCAATCACAAGCACTGAAATTGAGACTGTCATTAAAAATCTTCGAACAAACAAAATCCCAGGACCAGATGGCTTCACAGGCGAATTCTATCAAACATTTAGAGAAGAGCTAACACCTATCCTTCTCAAACTCTTCCAAAATACAGAAGAGGGAGGAACACTCCCAAACTCATTCTACAAGGCCACCATCACCCTGATACAAAAACCAGACATGGATGTCACAAAGAAAGAAAACTACAGGTCAATATCACTGATGAGCACAGATGCAAAAATCCTAAACAAAATACTGGCAAACAGAATCCAACAGCACATTAAAAGGATCATACACCATGATCAAGTGGGGTTTATTGCAGGAATTCAAGGATTCTTCAATATACGCAGATCAATCAACGTGACACACTGTATTAACAAATTGAAGGAGAAAAACCATATGATCATCTCAGTAGATGCAGAGAAAGCTTTTGACAAAATTCAACACCCATTTATGATAAAAACCCTGCAGAAAGTAGGCATAGAGGAAACTTTCCTCAACATAATAAAGGCCACATATGACAAACCCACAGCCAACATCGTCCTCAATGGTGAAAAACTGAAAGCATTTCCAGTAAGATCAGGAACAAGACAAGGTTGCCCACTCTCACCACTCTTATTCAACATAGTTTTGGAAGTTTTAGCCACAGCAATCAGAGAAGAAAAGGAAATAAAAGGAATCCAAATCGGAAAAGAAGAGGTAAAGCTGTCACTGTTTGCAGATGACATGATACTATACATAGAGAATCCTAAAGATGCTACCAGAAAACTACTAGAGCTAATCAATGAATTTGGTAAAGTAGCAGGATACAAAATTAATGCACAGAAATCTCTGGCGTTCCTATACACTAATGATGAAAAATCTGAAAGTGAAATCAAGAAAACACTCCCATTTACCACTGCAACAAAAAGAATAAAATATCTAGGAATAAACCTACCTAAGGAGACAAAAGACCTGTATGCAGAAAATTATAAGACACTGATGAAAGAAATTAAAGATGATACAAATAAATGGAGAGATATACCATGTTCTTGTATTGGAAGAATCAACATTGTGAAAATGACTCTACTACCCAAAGCAATCTACAGATTCAATGCAATCCCTATCAAACTACCACTGGCATTTTTCACAGAACTAGAGCAAAAAATTTCACAATTTGTATGGAAACACAAAAGACCCCGAATAGTCAAAGCAATCTTGAGAAGGAAAAATGGAGCTGGAGGAATCAGGCTCCTGGACTTCACTCTATATTACAAAGCTACACTAATCAAGACAGTATGGTACTGGCACAAAAACAGAAAGATAGATCAATGGAACAGGATAGAAAGCCCAGAGATAAACCCATGCACATATGATCACCTTATCTTTGATAAAGGAGGCAGGAATGTACAGTGGAGAAAGGACAGCCTCTTCAATAAGTGGTGCTGGGAAAACTGGACAGGTACATGTAAAAGTATGAGATTAGATCACTCCCTAACACCATACATAAAAATAAACTCAAAATGGATTAAAGACCTAAATGTAAGGCCAGAAACTATCAAACTCTTAGAGGAAAACATAGGCAGAACACTCTATGACATAAATCACAGCAAGATCCTTTTTGACCCACCTCCTAGAGAAATGGAAATAAAAACAAAAATAAACCAATGGGACCTAATGAAACTTAAAAGCTTTTGCACAGCAAAGGTAACCATAAAGAAGACCAAAAGACAACCCTCAGCATGGGAGAAAATATTTGCAAATGAAGCAACTGACAAAGGATTAATCTCCAAAATTTATAAGCAGCTCATGCAGCTTAATAACAAAAAAACAAAAACCCAAACCAAAAATGGGCAGAAGACCTAAATAGACATTTCTCCAAAGAAGATATACAGACTGCCAACAAACACATGAAAGAATGCTCAACATCACTAATCATTAGAGAAATGCAAATCAAAACTACAATGAGATATCATCTCACACCAGTCAGAATGGCCATCATCAAAAAATCTAGAAACAATAAATGCTGGAGAGAGTGTGGAGAAAAGGGAACCCTCTTGCACTGCTAGTGGGAATGTGAATTGGTACAGCCACTATGGAGAACAGTATGGAGGTTCCTTAAAAAACTACAAATAGAACTACCATATGACCCAGCAATCCCACTACTGGGCATATACCCTGAGAAAACCATAATTCAAAAAGAGTCATGTACCACAATGTTCATTGCAGCTCTATTTACAATAGCCATGAGATGGAAACAACCTAAGTGTCCGTCATCGGATGAATGGATAAAGAAGATGTGGTACATATATACAATGGAATATTACTCAGCCA